AGTTATTCTGAACACAAATGTCAGCAAGAGAAAAAAATAAATGCTTTTATCAGATGATAAGATTGCATTCATACATTTCTTTTTTTCATCATGTAACCCTGTCAATGCAAGCCTGCATAATGTCAGGGAAAACAATATGATATTTTAATATTACTTCTATTAGCTTTGGAGCATGATAATGTATCATTTTAATGTGTTATGGACAGGAAGTGTGAGGTACTTAGGGAGATAGTTTTTAGATAAGATCAATGACATATTTCAGCAGCCACATTCTTCCTTCCCACATAGCAAAGTGCAAAGCAATTTAGAAAAATATCATTTTTACAATGAAATATAATTACCACATTTTCTCATAAGTCATCATTACCAGAATCAGTTAACAGCAAGTTTAAATAAAATTCCCTCGAGCAATTGTCTGCCAACTCTACTGTCTGGACAGTAATGTCAGAGCCTGCTGATTATACCATCTGTAATGTGTGTAAAGCTACAGATCAGTGTTCATTTTCAACAACACCCGCAGAAGCCATCATTCTTAATAGTGACATTTAAGACATTAATTTCACTTTAAGAGATGGTTTTCATGTGCTGACTGTCAGGTGGCTCCAGAGTTAATAAAATATAAAGGGTATGTTGAAGTTTCTTTTATTCTTACTATTGAAAAAAACTAAAAAAGACAATTGGATACTTTGTATCCCAATACAAATTCCAATACTTTTCAGAAGACAAACAAATGAATGAATGCAGCCCCTGAATCTGATACTGAACATTAAGCTTTAACATGGTTTTCAGCCTATTAAATCTTATAATGTATGATCACCCATTACATTTTTACACTGTCATCATTTATATACAGTACTGTACTGCAGTTTCCCTTTGCTTCATGATGACCCATTTAAATAAAGCACTTTGCACAATATTTCAGATCATTTTTAGATTAGAAGCACAAGGTTTGTAGTACTTTTGTTCATTATTAATAGAAAAATAAGGACAATCATGAAAGGCAAGCATGCAATTTTAGTGTGATAGAACACAGCTATCACCTTTTTTAACAATCTGAAAAGAAAAGGTGCTGTTTTCTGGGGGAGAGGAAATATATTTCCTTTTTAAAGAGTCTGTTTAAGATACTGTAGCTTTTGTAGTTTAACATAATCTGGTATGAAAACGCCCCAGTTGTTTTACATTGTTCTACATTTTTCACACAACGTTTTTCTGTCTTCATGCAGAAACACATTGATGCATAAAACACTGGTTTTAAAATACCAGCTAGATATTTACTTCTTGGCACAAAAAGTAGCATTTTAGTTTTACAGATATGTAGAGAGGTATAAATGATCTTAGGGACAAGAATTAGATTAATATATGCACTTCAGATTAATAAAGTTTACTTTTAAAGTTTACTTCAAGTTGAAGCAATTATGTTTTTGAAGATCAATGTAAATTCAGGATTGCTAAATGACAAGCTTGGGTTTTTTCATTAAATAATAAACAATGTTGTTAAAACAGTAGAAACCACCAATAGAGAATTTGATCCACTGGTTATATTGTTGATATGTACAGTATATTACAACACCTGATTTTGTCTAATGCATTTATACAGCTTTGCACATCTGCAGTATATTGTAAATGTCACTGGCAAAACATGCATGTTAATTAATAAGGACAAAGCTATAATAGGGAAATACTCATATTAATATAATCCCAAGTAAAGAGGATTCAATTCTTTTGTTTTCTCTAGCTCATACTTTCAGATAATTTCATCTTGCACATTCTGAATTAAGAACCCCTCAATGATTGAACTCATGACTAGGCATCAGTTTGTGTTACATGTAACGATTAATCAGCTCATCAAAACTGACTATTAGGTCCAATAAGGATATAGCATATTTTTTTTATATCCCTTGATTAATATAGGTATACTTAAAACCAAACATATAGTCCCAGTACTGTTTCCATGACAGTTTTGAAATTCTTTGGCCACATATTGAAAAGCAATGCCACAGGGAATGGGTGCTGTCAGTGTGAAAGCTTGACCACAGTGGCAATATGCCCAAAACTAAGAATTATTGCAACATGTGTGTTTTTCAGATATAGGTACTGTAGTTGAGCTTTCTAGCTGTAGAAGTATTCATTATAGGTAATTAGAGATTACTTGAAAAAAAAGTATTTTTTGAAGAGTTGTAGGGCTGTTAAGTGTTATGATGCATAGTTCAGGACCCTGTGCAGACGATATAATCCGGACGTGAGTGGAAAAGGACAACGGGGAGGAGACGACGCGGATCAGGGCAGGTTGACAAACAGGGGGGCGTGACGACAGTGAACTGGTGCTTGGGGCGCGTGGCCATGGCAAAAAAGTCTAAGGTCCAAATCCAGTAGATCCCTCCGCGACGAAAAAAGACACAATTTAAAACCGGAACGGGATCCGGTACAGGGATGGGGAATAAAAACAGGATGACGAGGGCAGGCGCTCTGAACCCTGGACTCAGCTGGGTCCAGCAGATAGGAGCCCTATGCCCTCAAGCCGCGGACGTAGGACGACCTGGTGGTAGGCGGGCCTCCGGGCCTCCGGGCGTCCGTCTTGGAATGCAGAGCCAGGAGCAGCAAGAGCGCCAGGCTTAAATAAGGAGGGGCAGGATTGGATGCAGGTGCACATAATCAACTAAAATGTGAAAGAGCCAGAGCGCCCTTAAGAGGAGGGATTACGATCGTGACAGTTAAGACTTGTATTTTTCATTCTGTCAGAGTCAGAGTTTTGTAAGAGATGACAGTTTTGAAGGGGTTCCAATTCTGTTTAGAAACTGACATTATGATACATAATCTAACTAATTAATTCTAAGGTCATAATAAACATTATCTCTGTCTTTGCTTTAAATAATTTCTATCCATGTGTGATTATGAGTAAAAAGAAATACAAAAAAGTATTATTTTTGGTAAGATAACAATAGACGATGCATGGCCTCCATATGATAAAATGTTGCACTCGAGACTCAACACTCAAGTTTATTAATGTCAGTATATGGATTTTCTCAAACACGGTTAAATGGAGTACACCTGCTTCTAGTTAATTTGGAGCAGTACATTTTGGCATTTGTATTAGCACACTGATTAGCTGCTTCACTGTGGCAGACTGGAGGTGAAAGATTCATCTTTCTAATATACTGAGCCCCTGAGGAGTAATACTCTTTTTGAAGAGATGTGTTTTTCTTCATTGGTTTCCAGGTTCTGAGCTCTAGTTTCCACAACCTCTCCCCCCCTCCTTCCCCAATGCCACTGCTACCTTTGATTTCCACTGTAATTTTATCATACATGCTTTCTTCCCCTTTTGAAATTGCACATTTCTGAATAGAAATTAAAAGGGACCACTGAAAAAGCTTTTGGCAATTGGTTTTTGTCTAGAAGTAATACATCACAAAGTTTTGGAATGGAATTCTTTTTTTTTTTTAAACTCTCCCTCCAATCAACGCATTATTCAAAGCTAAAGCCCTTGCCCTGGGTATTTATATAGAAAAAAATTGAAATGCTGCCTTTAAATATGGTAAGAAAATCAGCTTATACAACATAGGAAGACAAAATGCATAGTTCAGTGTGAATAAAAATTCATAACGTGAAGATTTTCTTGCACTTTTCAAGGAGCTGATCATACATCATTAAAGAGGGAGACAGCAAGAAAATATAGCTTTATTACGTGGACAGATGAGTGAATACAGCATGGACAACCAGTCAGGTACTTACAGTATTGTAAAAGCCAAAGTCCATATGTTAGCCGTCAGTCTTCTAAAGTTTCTTCATATTATCACTCGCTTCATCTACTGTACTTAGTATGATTTCTGGGAAGCCTCAGTCATGAACCAAATAGTGCTGATCTTGGTTACTTTCACTGACAGCCTGATGGCTGCTTCTTCCTATTAATTGTTGGTTTGCAGTCTAAATGAGGCCCCTTTCCAACTTCTCTAGTAGGCAGGCACTTTGAAAATGTGTGAAGCCAAAGAACATCTATTGTCAACCCCTCTTCTGATGACTGTAACAAGATAAGTAACAGCTTTGTGCTCAGCAGGATCTGTGATGCTTTAAAGCCTTTTCTCCTCTGTATTGACTTAAATCAAAGCATTCATTTAATTTCATCTGTGTCAGGAGCCTGTGACAGGCTTTGCTGCATCTTGAAGATGCCTGAAAGGCAGGGATTCAATACTTCTGTTCTGTTGTATAGTTCCTTGGTTTTGACTCGACTAGACAGATATATTCCAGCCTATGTGACATTATTAATACAGTACATCTTTCTCTTTTGGTTTTAGCATTAACCACAGAGTACTATTAAATGTGCAGATTATCATCATTTTCTGGTTTGCTTTATGCATTATAATCTACAGAAATTACACTATAGTTCTGCAGATGTATGTTAGGCTTACATTACTTTATACTGCACAAAGACTTAAAAATGTTATTGAATATTGTTGGAACTTGTCAGCTTAGTTATTTGTAGCCAGTATATGTAACAGATTTAATTGGGCTGAGATTTAACACTATGCCAAAATGAATGCATCTGATTACAATTTAATTTTAGTCTTTTTTTGTGTAAACACCCAATAATAGCTGTCTGTAAGAGACACACTAAATGTTTTCTAAAGTAAATGGTGCCTAATTTTGTGTTCTGAAAGAGGATCTGTCACATTTTAGTGTTCACTGTTTTGCACTTTCAATTGTTTTATAAATCTATAAATACTTGACCATCACACTTTACTGTTAACTTGTCCCTGCCAAGTCTCTGTAACATTGTTGCTTTAAAGAAAGTGAGTCTGCCACCACCAGTCTTCTCCATCATCCTGTTAATCACCAAAATGACAAACTAATGGACCAAAAAAGAAAACCTCTTTAAAGGACAAATGGGTTAGAACCAGGACCAGATAATAGAAACCATTTTAATACCTTACAGCTTGGATTTCATTTTTCCATAGCCTGAGGACAATAACAACACACCTTGTGGTTTATGGTTTTGATCTGTTTTAATGTAATGGTACATATTAAATAACAATAAATCGTAATTATTATGCTTAGTCAAACTTAGACAAATAATAGAATTTGTATTCAATAAACATGCTGTTATTATTCTCTTTGTGTTGTCCTTGGCTTGGCATGTGCAATGAAACAAAACCCAAATGTAATCTTTGCACGCATTTCAGAATTAAACTATATGATCTTGAATTTATGTGAATTCACAACTTAGCTATTTCAACACATAATTTTCTGTTATCTGTTATCCCTATAGAAAAAAAATAATCAGGACAACTTTCACAGCTTGTGCTTCAGCACATAATTTGTTCCACTTTTGTCAATCCCCAACTAAATAGCAGTAAAAATTCCCAAGGTATATTTAATATAAAAACAAACCTAATTTCTTTTTCACGTACTTATGCTATTTCATGTTAGGCTTGCACCCTGGTATTTCTACAATTTTGCTTTTTGAAATTTGGGAGCATAGTATTTCCATGGGGTGGAGGGCTTTGAAAATCACTCTCATCGTGGTTTCTACATGAATTATTCCATTAAATAAAGAAGACAAGTAATCAGCAGTAATATATTTGGTAGCCTGATTTCTAATTATTTTCCCTTGAAAATTAAAATGTCTGTGTGCAGAAATATCTTTTTCTTGGAAGCACATAAAAACAAGTTAACAGCTAGAAATGAAAGCACAGACTTGCTCGGCACATGGAGCTGTTTGTTATCCTGTTAATCTGGAAGTAGTTTTTACTTTTCTATACATTGTGTTATAAGCTAGACAAGTGTACACATTTTGAAACAAAATCTATTGACGGATGATGCAGGTATGTTTTATTTTTCATTTTACCACTGTGTTTTTCTGTAATTTAATGCCTTGTATCATACTACTTCAAATGATGCTATCTTGCACTTACACACACAGTAACCATTCTCAGCATATACTCTTGAAAGTTTAATATCCTGAATCATGGCATTCCCTGAAATCTATTAAATCCTATGCTTACTTCAACAATCTCAGGACAGTATCTACCTGTGAATCAATATTTGTTTCTGATTAAAAGTTTTGATAAGGAAATGAGAAAAAAAACTTGCAGAAATGTCATTTCCCACTATCTATTGCTTTAAATCCACTGCTTTACCTTTAAATTTGCACTTGGTCACAATAATTGTAACAACTGTTGTAACTCCTAAATCAGCCCAATACTGTATAATATCAGATAAATTTTATGAAAATGCATGTAATGTAAGTGTGTCCTCCTCATGTACTAAAAGCAACCCAATAAAACAAAAGACAGTGCCATCATAGTTTTTGTAAAATCTTTCCTATGGTTTTAAAATGAGAAAATCTATATTTTTATATATGTTTAGATTCAGGTATAGTGAGGACAAAAGAAACATGCCACAATAGTACCTTGTGAGAATGACATTATTATTATTTGTTTCTGGAATTAAAATGCAACATACTGACATAAATGATTAAGCATGGAGATGTGGTATTATTTTTCACTAATAAAATCCATGTAATATGATTTGTTGTATAACTTTGTAATCACCAGTTATTTATTCCTTCTCATATTAATAACACTTTCCAGTTTGTGTTTTCTTTCTCCTGTGTAAGCCTAAGAGAATTCAAAACTTCACCATCGGTGCTCATTAGATATTCCTTATTGAGATGATGCATTTCAAACTGTGAATCCAGAATGGAACCAGTGAAGTTTAGATCTAAGGGACAGCAGAAAATCTAGCTGCTGGAATGCCACTGGGTCCTGCATGTACCTATTATGCATGATCCCTTTGAGACTCTCAGCAGAACAAGTGGACTGAAATATGGATCGATTGATAGATGTTGAGAATTTCTCACATGACTGTAGTCCACCGAATCCTGAAATTTAACACCTTTACATTCTGGGTTCACTAAAAATTCTAGTCCTTGCTGTATTTCATTTTTATTTACCTTCTGCATGCAAAAAAATGCATTTTTTTAAATAACTTAAAAAGATAGAGCAGCAAATCAATTTTTGATATTAATTAATATTATGTGTCAGTAGATTATGAATTGTGCCAGGTTGTGAAAGGAATCTTAAATGCTACAAATGGCTTTGTTATTCTATGCAAACAGTACACCTTTTTACAGGATATTTAACAAGTCAGCGGTTGCTGGGGTGATCCATCTTGCTTCTCTAATATGTCAGGGGACTTTCTCAAGCAGAAGCAGTAGAATGGGGGTATGCTATTCCATTAAGCTTGGAAACCAACATTAGTTTACAACATTAAAACATGCAATCACATTTTCAGCTAGCAAAACACAAGGGTTTAGCAGGACCTAAGGCGTGTGTTAATATGATCAGATGATGCACTCCAGCTTGAGAAAGCTCTAGAGACTTTGGATACGTTTTCATAATTAGAATAGATTAGCTGCAGTCTTCATGATTTGTGGACATGTAGATCTTAGTATGTAACAGTAATAACATCAGGGGAATTAGAGGTCTTTGCTAAAGGGATAGTAATGACATTAACAGTTAAAGTCACAATATCATATACTGCCAGTGATAGAATGTAAATATGGTTTATCTGGCTATGTGAGACACTTACTGTACATGACTTCCATTAATATCTCATTAAATCTAATTTAAATCTGAATTACTTCTAAACCCTGTTTTAACTACTGTGTATGTTCTGGTTGAATGTTTCTGGTTTGAATGTGTTTTATCATGAATGACCTAAGCCCACTGAATCCAAACTGCAAATCTCTTTGGAGAACACAGGCACAAAATCTGATTTAATGGTCTTTATGAGCTTGTTCATAAGATAATGACCTAGAAATCAGGATTCCATTGTATTGATAGGCACATATGTGGTGGATTTCTTTGCACCACAAATATCGACTCCTTACAGTATGTCAGTCACAGTGAAAGAAACACACACAATCCTTCTTCCTGACGAGCTCATGATAGAGGCAATGAGCAGAAGAGCAATAATACAGGCAAAACAAAGATAGAAAGGGGAAAATAAAAATGGCTTACAGGTTCCCCTTCCTTAAACTGAACTACTAGTAATAGAGCTAAAAAAATAATGTCTGTGAAAATAATTGCAAATCAAAATGGTGGACAAAATCGATATCTGTAGATGCTAATAATCAGCTGGGACTCTCTTAAGCATTTCTTTGCCATGGATCTATGTAATCAAGTCCCAAATGAGCAAAAATGTCTTCTTCAGTCTTTGCTGGAAGGAATATTTTCTGTGAAAAAAAGTCAATAGAAAATGTTTCATTAGGTAACAACACCAGCAATATCTAATTATGTACATACACAGTTATTTTGCAGAATATAAAGTACTATATATTCTAGTCTCATTTATTATAGAAAGCAAACCCTTTCTAAATAATAAAGAAATTGATCACATTATTTCTTTGTTTCCAACTGTTCCAGAGCACCTACAAAATATAAAACAAGAATAAATAGAATAACAATTTAATGTTCTTCTTGAGAGACCAAGAAGAAAACTTCCAATTAAACCTAGTCATGAGATGAAGAATGGTCCAATTATGCAAACTAGGAAATGTAGTCAAAAACTGACTACTGTTTACAGGAGAAAATTTAAACAACTTTGTTGTGTGAAAGAAATAATATACCGTATGTATGTACTATAAATACAACCATCATTAACTTGGTTTATAGGTATTTTTTCCACATGTCACAGACATTCAGCAAAACAAATTAAATGTAAATTGACCTTGGAATGGTATGTTATTTTGTGTTTTATACCTGGCTTGGTGGGCAGCAATAATCCCTTTGCAAAACGATTTAAACATCAAGTGACAGTTTGGAAATTAGTATACTAAATATATTGCTCTACTAAGTAAGTCAAAACCATTTCCTAGGTTGCACATAACGGACAACAATGATCACTCTGACTGCATCTTGTTTATTTTAACTGTACATTGCATATTTGAGTCATGCTGCCAGAACACTTAATTTAGAGCTATTGTGCAGCAATGTGTAAGTGTCCTTCCACATGGTGTAGCAATTCTTTTGTTCAGTTAGAAACTTCATCTACACAACAAATGGAATGTCCTCCATTGATTGTTTCATTCACAGGCCAACTGAAGTGATAATTAAAATATATTTCATTATCCCAGTTAAATACAATCATACAAAATCAATTGTATGTCCAGTATCAAAGGTGAAATATTCAATTTTATACAAGTGCATTCCACCAAATGTGTTTTTTAGAAAATCTTTCATAATAATATGCTGCATTTTATATATGACTTCCCAGTTATTTTAGTGTTATAAATAATTCCTAGCCTTTGCAACAGGCTCATACTGCTGAGATTCTCTCACACTATACTCCTTCTTCTCCTTCTCTAGAATCACCTAACCAATGTGACATGCACAACTCTGCTCCTGCAGGGGTTCGATCACGGTCATGATTGCTCATGTGCTTAGCATACTGTCTACACAGCAGCAAATCAGAGGTGGCACAGAAGAATCAGCTAGGGTCTCCTGCTTTGGCAGAAATCTACACTGTCCAGGCCTCAGGAAGGAAAGTGATGTCACCTTCTGCACCAGGCACAGTGTCGCCAAGTCCTGTTACACATTTATATGGAACTTTTCTTCCTGTGGGATTCCAAAATACTTTACATATACTGTAGACTGAAAACCATTCCATCCACCACTGAAGTCTAGCACCCAGCTGGGTGACGTGCAGCGGTCATTATATGCCTGCAGCCCTGCTACACCGCAGATGAGGTTGAGAAATTATATTTCTTTTTGCTTCAGCAGATAAATTAAAAGGGAAATTTAGGAAGGTCAGACTGTGCCAGACAAGATTGGAATACAGCCAGGACATTGGCAACAATACCCCTAATCTCTCAAACAGTACAGTGGGATCTTTAATGACCAGGTAGACAGCACTTCACTTTGCACATCCTGACTCAGTGATGGCAGTATCTACAATACAGCGTCTCTGGTCGCCATAATGGGGGGGTTGGTTTGGAAAATCTAGTCTAGAGGGGAGAGTGCCATCTACTAGTCTATCTACACTACTGTCAGCAGCAATCTGGTTAACCTTGGAGTTCTCTTATCTCAGTCCCATCCCACCTGGGTCCAGAGTGGATAAGCCAATTGAGCAGCTGCTTGTAGAACCTCAAACCAGAGTTTTCTGAACTATAGGGCTCATCTATACTTCAGATGAATGTGTTTATGAGAATGAGTTATTCTGAAACCCCTGTTAAGATTTGTATCAAATACAGAACTTAATGCAGATGTGCATGACCCACAAAAGTTTGACTTTTAATTGGAGTTTTTGTAAAACAATTGTCCATTTATAGACGGTTTATAGTGCTGAACCGTTCTGAATATAAGGTATTATATTTGGTACAGCACCGTCAATTTTATCCTAAAATAAAAAAGACAAGGCTCTTAAGAACTTCAGCCAAGCTTGGTGGTTTGAAGACTATTTTCCTTAGTAGCTACGCCTGCCAGTTAGGGAAAATAAATCTTTGTTAACATTCTGCCTGAATCAATTGTAAAGAACTTAAAAATTTAGGTTTCAAAATCATTGTGATATGCTTTTTACAATCTGGCAAGACATCATATCACAGTGTATTTGCAGCTTAATCCCAACAAAGCTGGTTGTCAAGCTTGTCTGCCTTATCACACTTCAAACATCCAGTTAAACCCAAGATGAACAAAACATGTCTTATCAAGTGCATATACTGTAGGTAGTATGACCCCTGTGAGGAGCTGCTGAAGTTACTATATATCTTATACACCTGTTCAGCCCTGCCCCCAGCCCAACCATTTTCTCAACATCCCAACCAAGGTCCAGTACCAACCTAAATTTAGGCCACTTATTATGGCCCTAGGTCTGCAATTGCACATACACGGCTGTTCTAATGTATGCATGCACACACAGTTGATCCTGGACTGCTTTTTCAAAATATATTCTAGCAGAAATACATAGATAAGAAGTCACTCCCAAACCCGCCAGCTGCCCAAACATGAAAACAAAGACACTGTTGCAAATAATAAAAAGAAGAAGAATGAAACTGGAACTTAAAAATGTCTTGATCAATAACTGTGCAAATTCTTAATACATTAGTTTATTCAGATATTGTGACATTTTAAACTACATTTGATCAAATACCATCAAACAGACCTAAAATTAACTTGTGCTTCTCAATAGTGATGGTTGGGATGGTGGTTGGGATCCACTTGATGTACAGCTAAATAAAAAAATCTTTGCCATTGTAAAAGACTGTGATGAACTTTTCAGGTGAAATTATTTGTATGTCTGTTCAATCAACTGCTGCTTCATGTCGAAAGTGTGATTGTATTTGGATTGATAGTACAACTGCACGACAAGTTTACTGTAATGGCTACGTGTAGTACTTGCATCCTACTTTTGCAGTAGGAATGACATCAGAAATCCTTTTCCTGACTAATAAAATACTAAACAATCACTCATTTCTATCTCAAAGACTTGTTGAGCTATTATGTTGCATCCTGACAGCTTTTTTAATTCTAGTTTGCTATGTGTCTACAGTACATGACAAGACACCATGCACTGGGGATAAGGGTTTTCTACCAAATGGCCCAAGACCATGAAACACTCTTCCTGAAACTGTAAAATCCTCCCCATCTCTATCTGTGTTTGACTCATTTAAAAATACTTTTCTTCAGGGTGGCATTTCCTTACTTTAAATACAGATATGCTGCGTCTGTCTCAATATGTTCTTTGTACCTCGATGTTGTCAGTCTGTTACCACTAATGGAAAGCACTTTGAAATGTCTTGACATGAATGGTTCTATTCAAAATAAAATGCATAATAATTATTGATGGTATTACTTATGGACAGTGTTTAATAGGTGGAGTGCAACAGTTTATTTTATTAAATTATGTCTAGTCATAATGTAAGGCAACATTTATTTCATTTCTTCTGTATGGCAATTGACTGCTAGCTAGATCAACAAATACTGTACATGTACAGTAACTATGAAATTCGTGTAGCTCTATGTATTATGTCTGTATTATGTACCCTATCCATAGTGTAGAACCTGTAGTAAAACCTGTCATTTGTCATTTATTCAGCTTTGAACATTGTAAAATTGGTACAGTCATGATTTTATTGAATATATCATTAGAGGGTTTGATGACAGTTATGAACCTCAGATTGAAATCACTGCCCTTATGAAAAAGTACTGGTATTTAAAATATATTAATAGGTTTGTGTAAGCTTTAATTGGTACCATTCAGCTTCTAACATGTTAAAGGAGAAAGTGTAGTAGTGAAGGTTTTAATGGGATAGTGGCAAGCCAGCTACAGTTAATTTTGATTGCTGTCAGAGTATGTAAATGAAAGACTTGATCTAATTCTAATTTTGGTACCACTGTATTACGTGTAGTACCAATAACATTGCAGGGAATGAAATATCTATCTTGTTTAAGTTCCCCGACTGCCTTTTAGCACCTGTTCACAACTCATCTGTTTCGGTCTCACCTGTGATCTCTCAACTCTCAATTTTATTTCTTCAGTGTGTCCTTGACTCTTAACCTGGTCATGTGATTGACTTATTTCTACTGTTCACTGTGGACGTACAGAACCTGTTACCTGCCTGCCTTCACTACTGCTTGGTATCCACACTGTCTGTATATTTTAAATCTTACTATCACATTTTGCCTAGGTCATATTTCACTCCAAGCTTGTGCTAAGGTTATTTTTTATTTTATTAGCTTGTAGTTACATGTATGTACTTACTAAAGGTAAATTTTATAAATGTGTTGTAAATTACAATGGATAAGAGCACACACCAAGCAAATTCTTCTTCATCATCTTTTTCTTCTTCTGAGGAAGAAAACATTAATGAACAATTTAGCAAATCAGGCTACGTCTTACAGATTCCTATTATAGATTGTTCAGTTTCAGGTGATCATACTTGTGGCTACTTGATCTGGTATGTAAATGTCCTTTAGTCTTTATAAAAACTACAGTATTTTATTTTGTGAGTCTGACAGAGTACTGCATGCTATTTAAAAATGAACAATGAAGACAATTCTCATGTGATTCCAGATATCTCTATATGCACTATAAGCACCTTGCACTAAATGAAATAGCTGCCGTCTTTGCAGATTCCAGCTTCAAGCTGTTTAGAGTAACTGGATTTGGCATATAAAATAAAAGCTTGCACAGATGGGTTCATCTTTGTGAGATTACACACTGTAATGAACCATATCT